TTTCTAAGGCTAAAATAAAACCTAATATCCCTTTGTGTATTTGTCAATTTTGCATATATTTGTTGTGACAGTATTTTCGTAAATATCTGGAAAAATCTCGTCTTTCGTTAATAATTTCATTTGTTTGAAATGTCTACCGACCCTGACCCAATAATTTGTTTGGAATATCGATCCCCGTTGGTTTCTCCAAACGGTCCCGACGTCCATTATTCAACACAATCAGCATTTATTTATCGTATGTCATGGGGATCATGTTCCGTAATTTGCGGGCTGTAAAACCAAATAATTAAACATGTACTATTTATTATATATATTTTTTTACCTCGTGAAACTACAACACAGCGTAGAGTTGTCGCAGTGAAACAGTCGCCTTGAAATCGATGAAACTTCAATTATCCATTTCTCGCCTTGAAATAAAATATTAAAAATTCGAAGAGCATCGGGGGAAATATTATTAACCAGTCTTACCAATCCAATCTCCGGCGTCGATTCACTGTGCTGTGACAGGCTTCACAATCATTCACTGAAAAACATCGGTATATTTTGACAAACGGCTGGGATTTGACCTCAGTTCAAAAAAAGAAAAAAAAAAACTGGGCTGAGATAATTAATCAGTTTTGCAAGTTGGGAAATAAGGTAAACCAGATTGGGGTCAATGATATTCAGTATCGAAGGACTTCCTCGCACGCAATCTGACCCTTTGACCTAGATTTGGCTGGGATTGAATATTTTATTTTAGACAATATTCCGACGTGACGCACTGCTACAAAATGTATTCAACTGAAGTACAACATGGTTGTCTGGGTTTCTTTTCCTTATTGTTGTTGTTTCCCCCCAAGCAGAAGACAAGCCGAAGGACCATGAAGCTAAATAAAATTCCCACGCATGGACGTGGACTGAGTGAAAGAAAATATTTCTAAGGCTAAAATAAAAATGACCTACTATTACATCTCTTTGTGTATTTGTCAATTTTGTATATATTTGGTATGACCATATGATCGTAAATATCTAGAAAAATCACGTCTTTCGTTAATAATTTCATTTGTTTGAAATGTCTACCGACCGTAATTTGTTTCTCCAAACGGTCCCGACGTCCTTCATTCAACACAATCAGCATTTATTTATCGCAATTCATGGGGATCATGTCCCGTAATTTGCGGGCTGTACAACCAAATAATTAAACAAGTACTATTTATTGTATTTTTGTTTTACCTCGCGAAACTACAACAGAGCGTAGAGTTGTCGCAGTTAAATAGTCGCCTTGAAATCGATGGAACTTCAACTACTAGTATCCATTTCTCACCTTGAAATAAAAAGATCGAAGAGTATCGGGGGATATATTATTAACCAGTCTTACGAATCGCTAGCTTTATTTTATTCGAATTCATAAAATTCACGAGTTTTCGACATTTGTTTGCAACTTCCGCGCTAAAATGGTTGAAAATGTGGGTGTGGTTTTCTCGCAAAGTCCTGTTGATAATACGGACAAATATGGTTCTGTGACCCAGGTCGTGCTCCGATCAAGTGACTCTCAGCCAATCAATGATGTTGTAACAAAACATATTTAACGCAAATTGAAGGGTCGTCGTACCATCCAATCTCCATCGTCGATTCACAAAGTTTTTTTTGTGCTGTGACAGGCTTCGCAATTATTCACTGAAAAACATCGGTATATTTTAGCAAACGGATGGGATTTGACCTCGGTTCAAAAAAAGAAAAAGAAAAAAAAACAGCGCTGAGATACAAATCAGTTTTGCAAGTTGGGAAATAAGATAAACCAGACTGGGGTTGATGATTTTCAGTATCGAAGGACTTCCGTGTGAATCATGATTTTCAAATTGTTCATCGGCTGGTGACCAAATATTTACGGCCACACTAAATGGACACGTTTTTTTTTCTGAAGCCCAATAAATTATTTCTGCATGTCAAGTGCTATTCGATTTTTTACAGGGCATGTGGCTCGTTTTCATTCGAAAATATGTTTGTGAGAATACTTTTAAAGTACGTATAGATCGTGACTTAATTTTGAGAATTGGTTGTCAAATTTTACCAGACCGACGCCACCACAACCATCCAATCATATGTTGGAAATGTACGCACTTGTTTTGGAACTTTGTATCAAGATGACCGGCGATGACGCCGACGCACCAGGCGACGTACGTGTGTGTTGCATGTTTTAGTAGTCCGGGCATGGGGTCGGACTCGGCTAAAACTAAACGAAACACAGAAAATACCACCGGAATGAGGAATCTGAATCTGCTTCTTCTAGCAGCAATAAAATGAGCGAAAAAAGTAAATTTTATACAAGACAGTTTCATTCGTATACAGCAAATTGTGTTGTATCAGAATGACGATGCATCGTGTGATTTGAATTTATCACGATTTTCCTTCCAGTCAATATGAAACTCGTCACCTTGCCGATTGTAATGTACTTCGCAAAGTTTTTGGTGCCCAATACTTGCAACACTAAAATAATTAAACAAGATATCTTTTTAAAATGTCATTTTACTCTTGATCATATTATTTTATTCGTCTTGAATTTCAAATCAATTCAATTACATATCGAACTTCTGTACATGTTTTTGTCTACTGCCCTTCTGCGTGCAAATAATGTGGTCATACTCATGCCACAATAAGTTGAAGCTGATGCCATGTTGATGCCATGAGACTGCGAAGCTGAGGCCACGATGATGCCACAAAATAGCGAGGCGAACACAGCTTCAATTTTCAATGACGCGAAGCTGATGCCACAATGATGCGATGCGTAGGCGACAATGATGCCACAAAAGCCAAAGCTTCCGCGAGAACTGTACTGTAATATGCTAAATAACCCACGCTCTTCGGTTGCGATTGTTTACAGTTATCGTTGAATTCAAACTACATGGAGCGGGAGCACACGATCGTAGTTACAGTTAGTTTGTACAAACCTCCAGCGAATCTTCTACGTTGGCCACAGTTCCAGGAATACACTCGCCACAATTTTTCGAAACGCTGGTCGGTGCTGTTGTTAGCGATGGTTAGCAGTTCGTCTCGACAAATGTCGGTGAAACTTGAAGCTGGGCGACGATTTCCATGGAAGGCGGTAGAAAGTTCATCAGCGACTCTCACCTCCGGGTGTGCTTCAGCTGTTCAATCAGGTTACTTGCAGTCGCTCTGGTGTTCGGCGCTTCCTGCAATACGGTCTGGCACTGATTTGATAGTTAATTCAGGCTGAAATTGGGATGTTTCTTGAATGCCCGGGTAAGAAAGTTTCTACCAATGGTGGTCTCGTGGCTTCCAACTGCACGTGTGCAGTACAAAGTCTCAACAATTTGAAATCCTGCGGTTTATCATGATGACGCGTTGGGTACAACTATGTGATTATGAAATATGAAATAAAATACGCAATCATCCAAACCTCGCATACGTATCGAGTGACCTAATAAACTCTGTACTAAAACCCTGTAAACATGGGACAAAATACATGTTCCAGGATAAAACAAAAGGAACAAATCTCCTAATCTGTAAAACATCAGCTAATTAAATTGGGCGTGAAAACAAGGTGTGACACAAGGTCAAGAGAAGTCAAAACATATAATAATTAGGTCAAAGTAAACTTTGATTATGTTAAATGAGATCTGCCAAAAATGACTAAATTCCAGTGAATAGAGCCATAATTATGGTTAAAACAACAACCTCAGGTGGTCCTAGGCAAACTGTTCCTTCAGGACTCATACCACTAATTGAAACTCCATAGACGACAATGTTAACATATGACGAGATTGCTATATGAAAATGATAAACAAAGTAGAAAACATGGCTCTTAAAAGGGAAATCAACATGTCAGTAATCAACCACATGAAAAAAGCTGACATATTGGCCAGCTCAAACTCTTGCAAATCCCAGGTAAACAAGACACACCTACTGTATTTGGATTGCAGCTAGAGAAATTACTGGAAAAATTAGATAAGAACATCCAAATACACACAGAATAAACCCACAGGTACATAGCCACTAAGTCATAAACAAAAGACCTAATGTTAGTCTCACCTTTGACCCAGGTGATGCATGCCCTCAAACAGGGTGCACCTTTGAAAAAAATATTTAAAAAATTTCATTGGTAGGCATTTAAATTGAGGGCTATGAATGGTGATTGGTTGATTAGTGACACAAGACCTAAAGAACTGTTTTACTGTAGACTTGACATCTATGGTTTGCATGATGCAAGTCCCCTCAATATTATATTGAACACTGTACATGTTTTCCTTTGGCTTGTATGAATTAGTATAATTGTTTGTAACCATTTTATTTTGTAGATATGAACCAGCCAGTGGAAGAGACATGAATGATAAAGAAGTGTTGTTGGATGAATCAGATGAAGTTTGGCTTGAATTAAGACATCAACATATTGCTGTAGTGTCACAGTAAGTTATTAACTCTCACCCACAAAGCTATTCACAATATTTTTTGTATTTAAAGCATCACCTGTGTGGCCATAGCATGTTATTTTTTACAAACGAGCGTCTACCCATGAGCCTTTGTGTTCTTAGGGGTGATCTCATATTCAAACATGCGGGTCAAACCTACGAAAACCCAAACCGCCCTAAACCGCCCAAACAAAACCCAGTTTTGCGGTTCGTAAGTTTAAACAATAGACAGTGCGGTTCAGGACGACCGCACGAATTTGCATAAAAACTGCGGTTCGAACCGATCTCATTCACACCTCATTCAAGCTGTTGTTTATTTTTAGGATTGACAGAGTTTACATTGCTTTTTGAAGACTAGATAGTTGTCTCTAAAATGTGTTGATTTATTGGTGTACAGTAGTCATTTTACCGTGTGCCTTGCCTAAAAAAACACTCTTGTATATCGGTAAACAGCGTGCTGAATAAATTGTTTTGTTTTGATAAACTGTTATGCTCGAGTCGCAAGTTGAGCAGAGGACGTGATTCAGACTTTTCATTGGGCTAGACAATTGATATGTGTCTCTGACAGCTAATAAGTATCAAAAGACGAACATTTGTTGATACAAAGTTGCACTTGAGACTTACGCTACTGTGTTCAAGCCTTTACTACTGTTGCGCGTTCAATTTTCAAACAGTTCTTTCAGAGTGCGGCATCGCAAAATCCGGAAAAACAAATGCAGCGTACGCCATGAAAATTTATTTCGATTTGCTGCACATCGGGTTATTTGCAGTTTTTCTTATTCAATTTCCAGTGACACGAAGTATCAAAACAGAAAATTTAATAATAAATTAAATGG